TTTAGATTACAAACGGGAAATTGACAGCCCCAAACCCTTCGAGGCTGTCAATTTCCGGTTTGTAATCTAAAATGACTGAAAATTGCAAATTTCACAAGCCTATATTTCCCGCTTTTTACAACATTTTGCAACGAAACTTTGGAACATTACTAATTTTGTGATGCTCTTTCAAGCTGTAATGAAATTTTTGTTGAGATCAAAATTTAGTCTATTACGCAAATGGTCAATTGGTACACATAGAAGTAGATTCGTTATCACGTCAGTCTTAGCTGCAGTTATTATAATAATTATCGTTTTCTAAAATTAACAAACTAGTACCTCTTTAATAGCTGGATGGGGTACACCATAGGCCACCAATTTTTGACGTAAAATGTTAGCATTGTAATGACGAAATGGACAACCTGAAAATATTTTTGAACAGCGGGCTACGTGAGTTAAGCCTGTCACTGCATGAAGGTCGAGGTCTCATACAAATCATACCGTGATAATCCCCTTGTCCGGGGAGGTTGGACTTAATGATTTTCATACAACTGTAAGGAGTATAGTCAGTTCTCTTTCCTTCTTTACCAAAACTGTGACGGACATTGTACGCATATACTCTTTCAAACTAAAGAAAAAATAGCGGAAAGGTTTTGTTGATGGTAATTTCAAGTGTGAATTATATATATTTATTGAGACCTAAACAGGATCAGTTGTGAAAAATGCAACTATATAGACCCTCTGCCAGGACGAATCTGCGGCCCTGCGATTCCCGTGCAGCTCTCTAACCAACTGAGCTATAAATGCCAATCGGTGAGTGTTAACCACAAGATCGTGTATATATGGATTTTCGGGTGTGCGGGTTATGATGACGTGAACCTGAAAAATTTGTTCTGCACTTCACCCATCAGATGCGTACTGAGCCAGTCAGAGTCCGAGGTAGTGAAGTGAAATCTGAGCCTCTCTAATGTTACCTTATCATCTTCCATAATCTTTGTAAACTCGCTCTTCCAAAACATCAAAGCTTCTTCCAATGTTAAACCTATTCCCTAAAAATTTAAATCTCGCATGAGCTAACCAGATTACAAGTTGAACTTCGGTCCGCAAACTCCTTTTCAATCAAGATTTGGACTTGAAAATAATAATAGATATCACAGTTAAAGATACCTTGATAAACAGGCCATACTGCAATCGACCGTCATAATTCAAATGATGATCTCGTCTCAGCGCTTCATGCAATTGCCTCATGCACAGAGGAAAAGATGTTTTGGATAACTATATATTACAATGAAAGATGAAGAGGTAAGTGAGTTATTATGCGAGGTGTGGTAATCATCCTTACTTACAGCTGAGAGCTAAGCTGAATTACGAAGGACGTAGCTCAACCTGGTCGAGTCGAAGGCTTTCTAAAGCACATTTTCCACTAGGCGAATTTGTTCACGAGAACAGTAAAAAGTAAGAACTGATCCAACTTTCTCGCGGCGAATTTTTTCGCTGATCAATCACATCAGCCAAGATTTGTTTTTCGCTTCGCTTCGCCTGAACAAATTCGCCCAGTGGAAAATGGGCTTAAAGGCACTTCTGGCAGCCACCTTATGACTCATGTCTGATCACGGTGCAGAGACACGGGGGAAGGGATAGTTAGGGGCTAATTCCAACCCACCCTGTCAACTTTCCCTGTGGGAGGAAACCGGAGCGTCCGGAGAAAACCCACGACTTTCGGCAGAGCATTGACTCACTCTTTTCACATGAGTCCGTAGCGAGAATCCAACCCACGAACTCAGAGGTGAAAGACGCTTGTTCTGCACTAAATACAATGACATGCATGTAGAGGTATTAATTAGCGCAAAGGTAGGGTAAAAATATTTTTAAAAAAATATTAGAAGTCAATCGTGCACTTACAGAATCAATCTGACCAAGGATAATTTTTCCACCTGGCATTTCTTTCTTACTGTCATAACTCTGATCAAGATATTGACGACTGAACGAGAGATACATACGAACGAGATTAATATTTAACATTTAAACACTAACAACCTAATCCGTCACCACATATACACCTTACAGAAATATACAACTACGGTAGTGTCATTTGAATAAAACGCGTGATAGAAACCAACAAGTGTCTTGTCTATTTTATACCTTAAATTTGTCAACCTCGGCAAAATACGTTCATCCTCTTCGAAATAAGGCAGTGACTTTGCCGTTAACTATTTAAAAATACATTTAAGAAAATTAATAGTAAAATATATCTACGTCAAATATTTGGTTATAATTCAAAACAAAGACAAACAAAGATGACAAACAAGAGAAAAAATGTTAACATAGCGAGGACGCCTCAACCTAGGGGCGGATCTAGTCTCATCTGCAAGGAGGGGTGCAGGTTTTCCATGAAGCGGTGCATGAGGGAACCTTATTGCCCACTCTCCTCTGCAGTTTACAACGCTACTATCCCAACATTACCATTATTTGAGATGGTCGAATCTGCATGTTCGCCGTTCTGTTACGTTTTACATCATCTTTTGATTATAAACTTTATATCGGTCGGAATAGCTACATCCATAAAAGCTCCTACATACTTACAGCGAGTGCGTGAGATAAATGTATCCTGAAACAGTTACTAATGATGGAAACAAGACGATCCCTTGGGACATAAGCATAACCCTAGAATGAAAATAATGCGACCAATTATTGGATGTAAAACGTAACTTTAATATATACAGGTATATACTAGTTTTTTTCTCTATTCGTCAAAAAGTACACTTGTTATCCGTAGCTCTTTATCATACCTTTTCTAAATACACTTTACGCCAACGAACCAAGTCCAGAACTTCTGTAAATGGAACCTTGAAATTGTATTTGAGTATTAGTGAAGAAATGTAGTTTATTGAGTTTATAGTTTATTGAATTTCTCGCTCATTTGTAAGTGGACTTCCCATCACGCAGCGCTATTGCCCACTTGATAGGGGATCCGAGGTCCGAGGTACCTACGATTTTAACGTCCTTATCCGAGAAGACGCGAAAGTCTAACCATGCATTTACTGATGTGAATGGGTAGCACTTTCTGCTCAATTATTTTAAGACTAGTTCAGGTAGAGGTCCGACCAAGGATCGAACCTGGGTTTGCCAGGTTGAAAGGCAAGCGTGGTGACTACGACACAACAAGTGCTGGTCAACAAGGAAAAACGGGTATAGAATTTCATAATAAAATTTTACCTTATAATAATTTGTCATTTCAACGGTTGATACGTAATCAGCAGATGCGAGTTTACTTGATCTTTCATTCCTTTCTTCTTCTGATATCTTAAATAGTTACAGTACAAAAATATATATTTCCATCTACAAACCCCAAATATCCCAATATCATAAAAAATGTCTTCACTTACTGGGGTATACTTTAAACTATTTTCCTCCAAAAATTTTTCAATGTTTTCAAATTTTTCTGCATCAAAGTTAAAACGAAATCTGAAGATATATATATTATATATAATTAACGTTATTATACACATAGTTTTCGTGTAGTACAATAAAATCAAGTGCAGTGCTCAATAAACTTACTTGAACAAATCAACTTCTTGCGTGATAAACCATCTCCGCAATTCTTCACTAGAGCAAAATTCAATGCAATCGTCATCAACTCACTCACTGACCAAGTCAACCAACCAACAAACTTGGAAAACGATACATGATGCAGGGATAGCTCGGAATGTGTTATAGTCATTATAGTATTTAGATATGTAATTTATATTTTGACAAAGTTTATTAAATTAAAAAACCCCAAAAAAAACAGACTTAGCAACCAACCAACGGACAAACCTACCAACCAAGCAACTATATAAGGATGTGCTGGATCTGGATTCCGAGAAAATATAGACCACACAATCCAGTATTCGGTAAATTTTTTTAGGATATATACCGGATAGTACTGCATGGAACTTTTATTATAACCACAAAACCGCCTGTTTTGTGTTAAGATATTGTGAAACACAAACAACTAGTCTACCTGATATGTGACACATTAAAACAAATTAATCAAAGCTGCATGCAGTTAATGGTAATCTGCCCATGCATCATGTTAATCAGACTATCTGTCTATGTGTCTAGTTAACCCATTAAGTTGCAATGTACCCTACTTTATTATTTTACTCTGTGCAGTGCCAGACGAATTTACTTGGCAAAGGTAGAGTGCCAGGGGTGTATATTCTTCTATAATTCCCCCCCCCCCGCGGGTGGGGGAAAAGAATCAAAGGGTCTTAGGGCTAGGGAAGAAAATCAAAGAAGAGTAGAAAAAATGGAAAGACAGAGAGAAAAGAAGAGAAAAATTTCCGTGGGTAATGCGTGAAAATCAGTGTTTCCACTTTCCAAAATGATTTTTTCTAATTTTTTCCTGATTTTGATCAAAATTTAAAGCATTGAAATTTCCTTCAAAATTTCATTTCCTTCAATTTTCCTTCATTTTGATTTCGTTTTGTCTATGCTTGTATATGCCCCCATTTGCCATATCACTCCAAAAAGGAACGCAGGCCTTCTTTGAACCAAAGGTAGTTCCGGCAGTCTCGGCTGATGTAGTAAAGATATGAGGAAAAGAATCAAATCTGAAAAGAAGGGAGAATCAAAGTTCATTGAAGAATATACACCCCTGGAGAGTGCTGGTGCTGAATGGTTTAGATATCTATTAGAACTTACGATCTACAGTAAGCCAAACGTAATATAAAATGCGATGTATTATCCTTTACAGTTTCTTTCTTTAGATCATCAATATAATGTGGATTCAGTGTTGTTGTCTGGTCATCCTAAATAACATCATCCAATAAAATGCAATGTAAAAGTATGTACTTGCTTGCTTTTATAAATGCCAGAAATGATCAAGTTGCCCACCATTTCCCTTCTTTAAACCCCACAGTTTTCCCAAGGTGTGCACTTCAGCTTTTCCATAGGGGGTATACAAGGGTACTGCATTTAGGTGTAAATTTTGGACATTCTTTGACCTGTAGTGTTTTGTAAACTGCTTGGGTATAGCCCCTCTGCCCCCAGGTAAATCTGCCAGTGGATTGGCCCATTGGTAAACCAGTTCTTACCATAGAATAAGTATAATCTAAAAATTTCCTTAGTGAAGTCCACATAGCAGTACTGTACTCGTCACTATATTTCTTCCTTCGAATGCCAAACGTTTCAACATCTCTCAGAACTACAGGAACATGTCACAAGAAAAGTCACAGGCATTAGTTGTTGGTTGGGGTTATAGGGGAAATGTTAGGGTGTGTTACTAAGGAAGCCCACCAAGGGTGTAACCCAGGTTGCTTTGTCGCTTGTTTGATTGTAATAAATGTCACTGTCACTTTTGACCCATAACACAAATCAAAATCTGTCGCTTTTTCTCAGTCAGAATTAAGTTTTACATTGTTAATCTCTCTTTATTTTTAGATAATCTGTCACCTCTTTTTAAGGACTGTTGCCTGTTGGTCATAACCCCTTGGTGGGCCTCATAAGTCCCGATGCCAAGTTTATTGACATCACCCAACCATAAACGCACAGGGCTGATGTTTTCCAGGGGGGCAATTAAAAGTTTGTCCAAATTTTTATGGAGGATTGTAATGATATTACCTGAATTTATAACTTATTTTCTGGTAAATTTGCCCCAAATTTTCTTGATTTTTCCTAGCATTTGCCCAAATTTCCATGGTTTTCCAAGATCTTTTTTGGCAGCAGTTGCCCCCTCCCTCCCCCGTACACCTATGCACCCATGAACATTTGCCTTGTCTAACATAGAACCATTGCCAATATAGATCACGCTAGTACTGACATAAATAATTTGTCCAGGATTCGTACATATCAGAGAGTCAAATTTAAGTACATCTTTTCAATAACATTCAAGGCCATGTATTGTATCATGAAAAGAAGGCGTTATTATAAAAGGTCCAGACACACCAGACGCGATTCGACAACGCGACGTAATTTTTCGGACTTTCACTGACCAATAACTTCGATATTTCTAGTTTAAATTTGATTCTAGAAGCGCTATAACATTTTGAGTTATTTGGTCTACATATCTTTCAAAATTTGCTCTCATTGGCCGTTTTATTAACTTTCAAAAACTAAAAAATCGCGTCGCGTTGCCGGTGTGTCTGGACTTTAGAAATCAGTACAATGTCACGTTGAATTATTCAAAACGCAGCTTTAGTGCATTTCAAACAGCTAGACTAATAAAAATAATAAAATAGTAGTGTATATTTAAATTAAATAATCAAGCCAATATATTTAACAAAACTTACGTTTGAGGCGTTCAATTGCAATCGTGTCAAAATCTTCCAGAGAAATCTTATGTACTGGCGGAATTTTATACATTTGAAGCCGTGAATGACATTCTGCCTTTCTACGAAATAGTGTCACCGCAGCGAAGTCCATTTATTTTACTTTCACTTTGATAAAGACCCATATGGAGTTCACTGTGTCACCATCTTGGATTTTATAATTTCCCGCCATGCTCTCCCGCCACTGATCTCGTTATAAAACTTATCTAAACTGGACAGCTTGGCCACCGTCGGTTTCATCTACGGATGAACACTTTCGTTAAAATTTTTCGGCAGGTTTCAATCTGATCAGCTAATCTCATTTATCATAACTCACACTAATTAGCTAAGCTAAATGCCTGTCACAAATTAAACATGCTTGGTACAGACACTTTTTTAGAGTGCAACAATGCATCCTCAGATACACACGTAAAAACGCACAAGTTGTTAGAGATCTGCAAACAAGTTGTAACAATGTTGTTCTCAAGCCGATATCAGGATGTGTTCGCACTGCTTGTTCCCAGTTGTTGTGACAAGTTGTTATCATCTTGTTACAAGGTTGATGATGGTAACAGACTTGCTACAAGTTGTTCCAACAAGACTAATACAGGCTGTTCGTAACGAGTTGCCACGACGTCTATAACAGGCTGGTCGCGATTTAAATTATCATGTAAGAGGCGTGAAATATGCAAATGTATTTAATATATAATACTGTCAACACATGGGTTTAACTGCGCCAATATTGTACTTTTCAAACAAGGTGCTTACCAGTTACATTTTGCGGAAAACACCACGCTTATTTACTTAATTTTGGCAAATGTTTCGATCCGTAAGCTTGGATTTTCTTCAACATAAATAATGTCTGAATTTCAATTTATACGTCTTTTGTAATAAAAGATCACGACTTTCTTAGTTACAAAACGACGTGTGAATTGAAATTATTGGTCATAGATCCAAGCTTACGGATTGGAGGCTTTTCCAAATGGACATGGTCTTTTCCACAGAACAAAGAATTTCAGCCTTCGGGCATTCGGCTTACTTTCATATCATGCATAATAGTCCATCACAAACAGTTCCACGACGTTCCCTAATATCCCATGGCATCCATACTTTCCAAAGCTCCTTCATCTAAGTCATCATCCATGGTGACGTCATAGTTGATGACGTCATCAGCCGTGGTGGAACTGAACGATGTTTGTGAACTGGACTGTGTGACCCTCTCAGTCTTTATTCCGCCACTGCCCGCAATGTGAGCGATGGAGGTGCTTGCTAGCGGTTCTTGTTTTATGGTTCCCGTCGACAGCTGTTCGTGAACACGACGGCTTTCCTCGACGTATTTGTTCGGGTGATTTATGGCGTCTGCATGAGGCAGTGATACCTAGAAGAGAATCGTTTAAAAGTGATAAAAATCGTTTAAAACTATCCAATATACTGTAAATAAAGTTATTTTAGTTTAGGTTGCTTCCTGTAGTAACACTGGATGAATGAGAGATGATCCTTACTGGACCTCTAGGAAGAACAGTTTAGAACTGGTAGAGCTAATTTATTAGTTATAGATAGTTGAATGATAAATTCACCTTGTGTGTGACTTCAAAATACCGAGCACATGCTAACTGGTAATGAGAATCTTTCACTAATTCTTGGATCTGCAAAAGACGGATTAAACTATCGTTCCATGTTTCGCGCACCAATATAGGTTAGGGGTTAGGGTTAGGTTAAGGTTAGGGTGTGTATATACTGTATGTGTATGGAGGTATCCAGTTAACTTTTCAGTACACTATATTACCCATTACATAACGTTTACTGTATTGGTGCGCGAAACATGGAACGATTACCTTAAACTTGACGTGGCTAAAAGCTTGGTATACACATGGGAGTAGATTCGTGACCACGTCAGCCTTAGCTGCAGTTATTATTAAATTATCATTAAATGGACAACAAACTGATACCTCTTTAATAGCTGGATGGGGTACACCATAAGCCACCAATTTTTGACGCAAAATGTCAGCATCGTAATGACGAAATGGACAACCTGAAAATATTTCCATACAGTTATCAGGCTGCCTGAGTTAAGCCTGTTACTGAAGGTCGAGCATAGGGAATTATTGAGGATGGTTGACTAATCCGTACTTGACGTGCTTGAAAACTCATGTAGGTGGATTTGTTGTTCGTCTGTTTCGATTGGTTTTCTCCAGGTAGTATGTACAGTTTTGCTCCTTCACCAAAAACTGACCCTTCCGCCTTAGCTGTGGTTCCGTGATCAGACATGGCTATTATGGTGGCGCCCTACTGGCGACTCGATCATGTTCGAGGTACATTATTATTCAGCTCACTCCCTATTGGGGGTTTCAGTGACCGATTACATCAAGTATTACGCTTACTTATGTTACTTACTTAGCCCAGACTATTTATCTTGACAACAATTGTGATATTACTTTCTTAACTGTGTTTATCCTAACCCACTCTGTCAACTTTCCCTGTGGGAGGAAACCCGAGCACTCGGAGAAAACCCACGACTTTCGACAGAGCGTTGACTGACTCTTTTCACATGAGTCCGTAGCGAGAATCCAACCCACGATCTCAGAGGTGAAAGACGCTTGCTTTGATCACTGCGCCACCGAAGCCCCCTAAGGTGATCCGAGTTGCGTCCTTCGCATTTCAGCAATTCCTTCCTTCCTTCCCACACCTCCCCCCTGATACACCAAAGTCATTATTCTCATACAAATCATACCGTGATAATCCCCTTGTCCGGGGTGGTTGGACATGATGATTTTCATACAACTGTAAGGAGTATAGTCGGTTCTCTTTCCTTCTTTACCAAAACTGTGACGGACATTGTACGCATATCCTTTGTCAAACTAAAGAAAAAATGGCGGAAGGGTTTAGTAGACGGAAATTTCGGGTGTGAATTTTATACATTTACCTAAGACCTAACCAGGAGCAATAGTGAAAAATGCAACTATATCTAGACCCTCTGGCGGGAATTGAACCTGTTCATGTATATGTGGGTTTTCGGGTGCGCGGGTTATGATAAGGTGAGCTTGAAAGATTTTTTTCTGCACTTCGCCAATCAGAGGTGGCGGAGTCAAATGTGAACACTCTAATGTTACCTTATCGACTTCCATAATCTTTGTAAACTCACTCCTCCAAAACATCAACGCTTCTTCCAATGTTAAACCTATTCCCTAAAAATTTAAATCTCGCATGAGCTAACCAGATATGGTAGGATTATAGTAATATGGATATAATTAAACCTCGCTCTGAGCCACAAACGCCTCTTCAATCAAGATTTGGACTTGAAAATAATAATTGATATCACAGTTAAATATACCTTGATAAACAGACCATACTGCAATCGACCGCCATGTTTCAAATGATGATCTCGTCTCAACGCTTCATGCAATTGCCTCATGCACAGAGGAAAAGATGTTTTGGATAACTATATAAAACAGTGAAAGATAGAGAGGTAAGTGAGTTAGTAAGTGGGGAGTGTGATAATCATCCTTACTTGCAGCTGAGAGCTAAACTGAATTACGAAGGACGCAGCTCAACCTGATCGAGTCGAAGGCTTTCTAAGGACGCCTATGACAGCCACCTTGTGACTCATGTCTCATCACGGAGTACAGCTACGCAAGAAGGGTCAGTTAGAGGCTTATCCCAACCCACCCTGTCAACATTCCCTGGGAGAAGAAACCGCGGAGTAGGAGAAAACCCACTACATTCTGTAGGACGTTGACTAAGATTATGAGTCTGCAGCAACAATCGAACCCATGAACGATCTCAGAGGCAAAAGGCACCACATACATGCAGTATATGGTACAGGTACACATCCAAAAAATCCAAGAATAAGACAAATTTTAAATTATTCAAGACCAAGGGAATACATAAGACAACTGAAAGATATAAACGATAAAACTTTGAAATATATCACGAGACAATGACATGTAAAGAGTAAGAACCTAACCAGCGCGAAGGTATAGGATGAAAATATTCAAAATAAAAGCCAATATATTTGATCTCAATCACTCACCGAATCAATCTGGCCAAGGGTAATTTTTCCACCTGGCATTTCTTTCTTACTGTTATAACCCTGACCAAGATATTGACGACTGAACGAGAGAGAAATACGAACGAGATGAATTTTTAACATTTAAACACTATAACAAGCTAATCCGTCACCATATATATACACCTTGCAGAAATATACAACTGCGGTAGTATCATTTGAATAAAACGCGTGATATAGAAACCAACAAGTGTCCTGATTTACGCCAATTTTATACCTTAAACTTGTCAACCTTGGCAAAAGACGCTCGTCTTCTTCCAAATAGGGCAGTGACCGTGCCGTTAACTGTTTAAAAAAAATATCAGAAAATTCAGAGTAAAATATCTCTAAGTCAAATATTTGGTTATAGACAAACAAAGATGTACAAACAAGACAAAAAAGGTTAACATAGCGAGGACGCCTCAAATTAGGGGAGGATCTAGCCTCATCTGCAAGGAGGGGTGCAGGTTTTCCATGGGGTGGTGCATGAGAGAGCCTTACTGCCCACTCTCCTCTGCAGTCTGCAACGCTACTATCCCAACATTACCATTATTTGAGATGGCTGAATGTGCATGTTCTCCGTTCTGTTACGTTTTACATTATATTTTTATAAAGTTTATACCGGAATAGCTACGTCCATAAAAGCTCCTACATACTTACAGCGAGTGCGTGAGATAAATGTACCCTGAAACAGTTACTAATGATGGAAACTAGGCCATCTCTTGGGACATAAGCATAACCCTAAAATGAAAATAATGCGACCAATTATTGGATGTAATACGTAATTTATACAATAGGTTTTTTAAATTCGTCAAAAAAGTACATTTGTCCTCCAAGCTTAAGATCTTTACCGCACCTTTTCCAAATACACTTTACGCGAGCGCACCAAGTCCAGAGCTTCTGTAAAATGAACCTTGAAATTGTATTTGAGTATTAGTGAAGAAGAAACAGTAGTGAGTTTATCGGTCGTCTATTGAGTTTCTCACTTATTGGTGAGTGAATTTCACAACAGGCTACATTACCCAATTGATAGGGGATCCGCGATACCTAACGATTTTATTAACTTCCTTATCCAAGAAGACGCGAATGTCTAAAGCCAGAAAGGGCCCATTTCTACTCAGGAAAATTTTCCGCAGGAAGAAAATTTTGTAAAATGTGATTGGCCGACACAAATTTTCCGTCGGAAAAAAATTTGAAGTTGAAAATTTTCAACTTTTAACAATGATATTATCGGGAAATTTTCTGTCCGTGGAAATTTTTCTTGAGCGGAAATGGGCCTTAACCATTTACTGATGTCAATGTAAAGGTAGCTCTTTCTCCTCAACTATTTTAAGAGCTTGAGTAGAGGTCAGACCAAGGATTGAACCAGACTCTCCAAGTTTGAAAGGCAAGCGTGGTGCAGACCACGACACCATAAGTGCTGGTCATTCAGGAAATTAGAATTTCATAATCAAATAGTGTGGTTTTACTTAAGGAAAATAAAATTTTACCTTATAATAATTTATCATTTTAACGTTTGATTCGACCATTTTATAATCAGCACATGCAAGTTTGCTTAATCTTTCATTCCTTTCTTCCTTTGATATCTTAAATAAGTTACAAAAATATATATTTCCATCTACAAATCCCAAATATCCCAATATCATAAAATCTCATCCAAAAATTGTTTAGTATATGTCTTCACTTACTGGGGTATACTTTAAACTGTTTTCCTCCAAAAATTTTTCAATGTTTTCAAAGTTTTCTGCTTCAAAGTTAAAACGAAATCTGAAGATATATATTATATATTATTAACATTATTGTACACATAGTTTTCGTGCAGTACGATATATGTAAAATCACGTACAGTGCTCAACAAACTTACTTGAACAAATCAACTTCTTGTGTGATAAACCATCTCCGCAATTCTTCACTAGAGCAAAATTCAATGCAATCATCATGGACTCATTCACTGACCAACAGAGTGAAGCGACCAACAAACAGATTTAGTGACCAACAAACAGAGTGAAGCGACCAACAAACAGATTTAGCAACCTAGTATGGACAAACCTACCAACCAATCAACTGGGGATGTGCCGGAGAAAATATAGACATCCCACAGAATCCAGTATCCGGTAAAATTTTTCTGGATGTATACCAGACAGTACTGAAACTTTATTAAAACCACAAAACCATCTGTTTTGCATTAAGATATTGTGAAACACAAACAACTAGTCCACCTGACATGGTGACACACATTAAAACAAAATCACAGCTATAGTTAATGAAGTTACTCTATCGGCCTATGCATCCTTTTAATCAGATTATCTGTACATGTGTCTAGATAACCAATTAAGTTGCAATCTGCCCTGATTTATTATTTTACTCTGTCCAATGCCAGATGATTTTGGTTTAGATATCTATTAAAACTTACGATCTACAGTAAGCCAAACGTAATATAAAATGGGATGTATTATCGTTTTCAGATTCTTTCCTGCGTTTATCAATATTATGCTTATTCTTTGCCATTTTCTGGTCATCCTAAATAACAATATCCAAAAAAATGCAATGTAAAAGTAATAAGTATACTTGATTGCTTGTCTTTATAAATGCCAGGAATTCTCAAGTTGCCTACCTCACCTCTTAGCCCCAGGCAGCTTTTCCATGAGGAGGGAAGAGAGGGGTGAGATTTTCCAGAGGGGGTATACAGTAAGTGTAGATTTTTAGGGGGGAGTGCAGGTCAGATTTTCCAGAGGGGTATACAAAGGTGTTACCGTAATGGTGTGTGTGTGTGCAGGTTAGATTTTCCAGACAGGGACATACAATGTGAACCAGTTCTTACCGTAGAATAAGTATAATCTAAATATTTCCTTAGTGAAGTCCACATAGCAGTACTGTACTCATCACTATCTTTCTTCCTTCGAATACCAAACGTTTCAACATCTCTCAGAACTACAGGAATGCATTTAAGAACAAATTATTAGTTATTATCTCCGACTGGAGTCTATGTTTTCATCCGCAGTTGTGCGTATGTGTCTGTGAGCATAAACTTAAAAAGTGTCAATATCGGTTTGACTAACTCACAGGCATTTGTTGCAGGGGTTACGGTAAATGTTAAGTGTGTCATAAAGTGTTTCCTACACCGGATGCCAAATGTAATGACATCACCTGCAACAAATGCCTGTGAGGTAGTCAATTGCCAATATCGATTGGATGTTTTTGCAAGCTAGTCTATTACACTGAATAACCTGTCAAATGGATTACAATCAAAATTGTGGATCCTCAAAAACCGTAGTATGTTTTTATGCGTCTAAACATTCTCAGGGATGCGACCACAGGGATGTGAAATCGACATTATGGGAATGTCTGATTGGTCCACGAGAAATTATATTGACATAGCTAACAATAATTTCACATTTTAAGTTTTTAACAATAATTGGCATAGGAATGTAGTAATGTCTTGACACAAAAAGATGATGGTTCTGGTAACACCAATATCTAGTGTATAAAACCAACCCAATATTTAATAAAATCATAATTCAACTTACGTTTAAGACGTTCAGTTGCAATCGTTTCAAAATCTTCCAGAGAAATCTTATGTTCTGGTGGAACTTTATACATTTGAAGTCGTGAATGACTTTCTGCCTCTTGCTTTACTTTACTTCTGAAATTTCCGGAAAAGTCCATCTTTGACCGATTTACAAGCAAGCAATTACACTTCCAAATACACCAAAAAATATGCCAAAACTGGGTTATATTTAGTGTATATCAGTGGTTATATTTTATATTGTTTATTTACTGATATTTCCCGCTTCTTCCCGCCAAAATATAACCTTGGTCCCAGGCTTAAAATTTCCTGCTCGTCGCGGGCTCGAATGAATTTAAATGCCAAATTTATCAGATTTTGAGATTTGTATAATTGCAAAAATGGGCCATCCTTTTGTTTACATCTCAAAAAGACCTATTTAGAAAACAGCAATTACTAAAATCAGCTGGATCGCTGTAATTCAACGCAATGGGACACAATAAAGTGTGCTGTCGATTATTAAAACTGCTTTTAAGAAAACAGGTTACAACTGGACCGAAGATAACGTTATTTTTACACAGCAATGTGTCCCATTCGTCTGTGCGTTCAATTTCAACATGTTGTAGCAATCTGAAGCTACATCACAGCCAGCCAAAAGCAGTCTCATCGCCACAACACGCTGAGTTGTTCGTAGCCTCGCTTCGAAAGTCTGATCGCATGATTCTCGAGGAAGCGTTGATAAAATACAATTCGGCGAGTAAAGGTTTGTGTTTTTGTCTGATTTGCCAACAATGAAGGATTATACAAATAAATTGAACAATGTTTTATCGTAGGGCTTATTTATGTGCAGGCAAAATCGTGTGTCATATTAATTTTAAGGGCTAGCTGTTACATATTACTGTAATTAGTTACATTTTAACCTGAAATTGTAACATTTAGATCTCCAATTGTAACATAATCCCCCCCCCCCCTTTGTATATGCAGAATTTTTAATATCTTACGTTTCCTCTTGTATGTAAACAGTACTAACCTTGCTTTGTCATTTTATTCTGTACATTCTGTACTTTGAAGACTTTCTAGCCATGAAGCCACAATGCATGCTCTAATTAATGCATCCTATTTTGTTATTTTATGCTGTTCAATGCACAACTGTTTTACTTCAATTTAATTCCCTTGTCTTTCAGATCAACAAACTGTACAGCCTCCCACAATTAATCAGCTCAAATTAGGTAAGCAGTATATTCGGAAATCCTAATTTAAACAAGATAAACACTTTTATGTATTCTATGCTTATAATAACCCTTTAAGTGGAATACACCCAGATGCACCCTACTTTATTATTTCACTCTGTCTAATGCCAGACGATTTTACTCATCAACGAGAGAGTGTTGCCACTCATTGTGTTAATCAGACTATCTGCTCATGCATATTCATCATGTTAGCCCTTTAAGTAGCAATGTGCCCTGATGTGGCCCACTTTATTATCTTACTCTGTCTAACGCCAGACAATTTTACTCGTCAAGGGGAGAGTGCTGCCACTCAATGGATTAAATTTGATTTTGTAATGCAACAAAGATGATGTGTTATTATTTAATTTTTAGCTGCATATCACACAGCTATTCCTTTCATGGGATTTGGTTTTTTGGATAATGCAATTATGATTATTGCTGTAAGTATAATGGTCGGTGCAATTCCAAAGTAATCTTCGAGAGACTGAACAATGATATTTGGATATCTTTCAGGGAGAATATATAGAAATCAAAATTGGTGTGGCATTTGGAATATCCACCATGGCTGGTAAAATTAATGCACAGGTTGTAACAAACCTGCAACAGACTTGTAGCAATGCTGTTCCAACAACTTTGTCAACAGGATGTGTTCGCACTGCTTGTTCCCAGCTTGTTGACAACTTGCTACAAGATTATTAAGCTCAACAGACTTGTTACAAGTTGTTCCAACAACTTGTTATCATCCTACAATTCAACAATTTGTCAACAAGTTGCGAGTGGCAACCTTGTAGCAACTTGATAAAATAACAGCATTGTTACACTTGTTGACAAGCTTGCTACAAGCCTGCATGTTGTGTATGCATCTTGCTGACAACTGACAATTTTCATTGTCACTACCGTTGTGAGCCTTATAGATTGATCAATCTTTTTTAGCTGCAGCGCTCGGAAACATTGTATCTGATGTATCTGGCTTAGGGTATGTATCATTTCAATAGTGCTAATTCTTAGATGTCTCCTATCCAATAGAATGAAGGAAGATAGATATACTATATATACAAGTACTGTAGATGAATAACGTTGTATATTATTGTATAGTTTGGCTGGTTATGTTGAGTCACTGACAACTAAACTTGGTTTTGAAGGACCACAAATGAATTCAGCTCAACTTCAAATGACAAGAACTGTAGTCGCAACAAACTTGGTAAATCAAATATCTCTATTGGTTGTTTAATTTTCTCCCAAAAAAGTCCTGTAAGAGCTGTCAATCATTGCTCTAGTGTTACAACAGGAGGAAAACAAAACCTGCGGGGCTCGGTAGAGTCAGAGTGGAAGCGCTGTCCTCATGAAATTCTAGTCAGTGAACTGCTTATTACAAGAATCAAACTGTGGTCACAGAAGTGAATTCTACGACTAGTCATTTACAATTGACATTCTGGCGTATGAAACTGATTGCTAATGCCACTATTCTTGTTCATCAGTTTATGGCAAAATTTGACATCCAATTTACATGCATTTACTTGAGTACATACGTCAGGATAAGAATCGTATATGGCTAGTCATATTGTGTGGTCATATTGTGTAGTCATACATGGGCCTTTAGGAACTTAAATTCTTAACTGCGGAATAAACTAAAGCAATAATTATCTGAGTGTCTAAACAATGATTTGTTTTATCTTTGCAGGGACGTGGTATTGGCATTATCGTAGGCTGTATTTTAGGAATGTTTCCGCTTCTATTTTATAAAGAACCTGACAATGACAAACTTGAACCGCCAGATGATTCGAGTAAAACATAATTGACTAGATTCTAGAATATGTAATCAGCTAACTGAGATATAAACTCGAACGTAGGTAGTGACAATCACACCAGAATTCTGCATATTGAGATTGTTTCAACAACCTAAAAGTACAAGTAAAACTTCAACGTTTCGAGCGAAAGCCCTTCTAACTTCCCAGGGGCCTTCGATCGAAACGTCATAGTTTTACTTGTATATAAAAACCAATACCAGCCGACAATTTCAAAATGTATAATACAAAACATAATCCGAAGATAAGCATCTTGAAACCCAAAATATGAGTCAAACAAGAAAGTGAGTGAGTCATATTTGAGTCATAGAGAGTGAGTCATATTGACTCATATTTTGGGTTTCAAGATGGTTATCTTCGGATTATGTTTTGTATTATATTACTTGTATATTTCAGGTATGTAGCTGTATCATTCTCAATCCAGAAATGTGTGAATTGGATCATAGCAGGCATAGAATTTTTAGCTGATTATATCTACAATGCTAATAGGAAATTGTATTTTAACAAAATTATTTAAGAATATTAACCCATTAGGTTGCCACTTAAAGGGTTAAGTTATTAGTGTATTTATTTTTAGGCATAGAATTTAACTCGAATATTTTAACATTTGAAAAATTATTATTTTCAAAAAAATGTATGTATATATGCATAGCATAGAAAAATAGGATTATTAAATATTGCCAAGATGTGTTAGTGGTGCATAGTTAGTTTATCAAAGTGCTACAACATTCCCCAAGTCGATATACGTCAAATGGTTTAATGTTCCTGTTATATATTTAACCATTTTGCCAACTGCAAAAACATTTCACACATTATATAAATACAAAATATGTATCACAGAATTACACAGGCTTTCTACAAACCAATTAAAATGACATGGCAAGGAAACCATTATATGGGACAAAAGCTTTCCAACTTGACATAAACTTGCAGAAACTCTTGTATGGCACAACAGCTAAGCTTTATCAATGGTATACCCTGGCCGCAAGCTCTGTAACACTTTTTATCCTCATGTGTACATCATTTCGGCCATCTGTGACATAGGTTTAGGAATATGTAACAACTGATCAAAATACGCCGCTAGTTCCTCGGGTGTTGTGTCGTCCATGTTTAACGAGTCAGAAACCTTCACATTTGCTCCGTTTCTAAACTGTTCTCCGCAACCCTGCAAACGGTGCCGAGAACTGTTTAGGGCAGAGGCCGTTCTCTGTGGTTCATTTTGTGGCAAAGAATCATTCAGTTCTTTTACCGACAAGTTTTTGTCTGTTTTATTTTCGGTTCTTTTAATTGTACTTGTAAAAATGAAAGTAGGATCTTTTAAGATTTTCCTCCGTTTGTGTTTTTCAGGTAAACGTCCAGAATTTTTAGGTCGTTGTTTTATTGTCTTTACTTTTCTTGCTTGAGTTGGCATTTTCTTTCTGCATTTTATTGAGAATAAAGTAGATCAAACAACAGAAAATTTTAAATGTTACCAACCTACACAACTAATCATTAAACACACATGCCAACTATATTGCAGGGGCGAGGGTGCAAGGAGGGGTGCAGGTCTTCCTGGGGTGGTGCATGAGGGAGCCTTACTGCCCACTCTCCTCTGCAGTCTGCAACACTACAAACCAGGGATGGATTTACTGGGAGGGGGGTGTTATTTTTCATGATAAAGCAAAAAATAATGAGATACAGTAATTTGAGTAATAACATGATGATAAGTGAACTGTGAACAACAATTACAATTCAAATACAATAGTCAAGCAAGACTTTGCAGTAGTGAAGCAAGTTGATGGGCGGGCGGCACACATGACCGACATAACTCGGCACCAGAGCTAGCAGAGCACCCCACCCCCCACCACCACCACCACATGCTGGATCCATCCCTGCCACAAACATTACCATTACATACTCGATTTATTAAATACAAAGTGACTGTATGACCGGCAGCCGGTCACGGTTTATCAAATACTAAATGGCCAGCAGTCTAGTGACTATAGTTGAATATAAAAACTTTTGTTTGCGTTAACTTTTACCGAGCTTGCCGTTAGCTCATACGGCAAGGGCGCTGCGTGCGGAAAGTTAAGCGCAGTCGGGGTCGGGATGTGTTTTGTCTGACTTAGCATTGTTTTTTCTTAAAATTTTTTAAACTTTTTTTCCCGACTTTTCTAACTCTCAAAAGGTTAGGGTTAGGGGTTAGGGTTAGAAAAGGGTTTGGGGTTGGGGATAGGTTTATCTTATAAAAATTCAACTTTAACAATGGTAACTAGACTGCCGGCCATTTAGTATTTGATAAACCGTGACCGGCTGCCGGTCATATAGTCACTTCGTATTAAATAGCAATGCAAATGCAAATCAAAACATAATCTGTTGTATGGTACTCAATGAGGGTACATTTTATCAGATTCGGAGGCTTTTAACTAGCAATTATCAGTGTAATACTGTCAACAGCCCAGTGCCTCAGTAAGTCAGGACTCAGGAAACAAATTAAAGTAATCAAACCAGGAAATCCAATTGTTTTGAATAGAAATGAAAACCAGTTAAAAACTAATTCAGCCTAATTTCTGACTAAGTATTAACTATTACATACGAAACACTTCGGCCTGACATATTAAAAAAATAATGGTTCTTTTTAAATGGTTTTTTATGCAGTCTATATCAAAATCGACAATATATGATATGAAAAGTACAGGTTATTTTCGTAGAAATAAACAGAATTTCATAACGCATAAACGTTACTTACGTTCTATGATTAACTCTCAACCTTTTGAAAATATTTTGAAGTTCTGTATCGCTCTCTGTCGTCTCAAAATCATCGTTTGTTTGCGACGAATTTTCACAATCTTCTGAAGACGTCGCCATCTTGTTGTTATGATGACAAAAAAAAATTATTACGTCATCAAACACATGTCGTGCCCAGATCTCTCGCTATCTTATGACGTAATGGTTACGCTGCAAAAAATGGGTCATGATGTCACGCAATCACGAAACCTAATCCATTCCCTAACTCTAACCTACTATTAAACCAATCACATTTCGTGACTGCGTGTTGTGATAGCTAAGCCCCTCCCCCCCTCTTCTCCCCGTCAATGACGTATTCGTGACATAATATATATTGGCAAGGACTGTGGAAGCGGGGGGGGAGCACTCTAAAATCTTGGACATAACTGGTTTAGATTACTATTGGAATGTTAGGGTTTGTAATCCAAGTCCAAGTTTGTAGCACAAGGTCCTCTGGTAGGAATTGAACCTACGGCCCTGCGAATCGCAAGGCCGTAGGTTCAATTCCTACCAGACGACCTTGTGCTGCATTTTTCGCAGTCGTTCCTGGTTAGGTCTTAAAATGTATATATTCTCACTTGGATTACAAACCCTAACATTCTAATATTAATTTCACCAAGTGAAGTGCAACAATCCATCATTGAGATTACTATTGGCTTATTAACCAAAATTATCAGTTTTGAAAGCTGAAACATAGTAGACATATTAGTTTTGAAAACGAAGGCCAATAGTGCTTTTCCTAAAGACAAAACAATTAAAATTTAAATTTATTACAGTCAACACAATCTTTGCACAGCGCATGTGACATCCTGGTGAGCTATTGTCTGCTGTTACATGCCCGATCGTGTCACAAGCTGAAACTAAACACTCATTCTCCATTGGAGTTTTGAAACAACAACATCAAAACATGGCGCTCCGTGTTGTCCTTGCTTTCCTTTGCTTGTTATATGTCGATGCCTGGAGACTTTTTGCCCCAGAACCACCAGTATGGCCTACGTCGTATATGGCAAAAGGAATCATCAATCTTCCTTATGCAGAAATAGGCGAAACTTTTGACGCATGGTATGATGGTCCAAATCAACGGAGTCGTATTGATTATTACAGTGGTAGGCTTAATTAGAATATTATGCGCTTTTGCGTCATTTCACATCATTCAAGTACTTCTTTGCAATATATTTACTGTAACTGGTAATCATTAGAATATTCTCCTCAATTTAACAAAACCTGAATATTTTGCATAGTTTCATCAGAATAATTTCCCCATTTTAACAAAACTTTAATTTTGACATGTTGCGTAATTTAACATCCTTAGAATTTTGTGCTTAATTTACAAAGTTTCGGAGGTATCTTATAACTACTGGGAGGATTGTTAAACAAAATGTTTAAACAAGTAATTACTTACGAAATTCTTACATAAAATAAATCAACAAACGTAACGTGTCAAGGTCAACAATGATCGAAGAGACAGTGATCTCGATACACACAATTAGTAATTTGATCCAGCATGCATCTTGCCTAGAATTCCAATATGGATCATCTCTAATTGATCCAGTGTTACAACAGAAGGAAACCTAAACTAACTAACTTTATTTATGCTGGATAACTCTATCAGTTCTAAACTGTTCTCGCCAGAGGTACAGTAAGGATAATCTCTTATTGATCCAGTGTTACTACAGGAGGAAACCTAAACTAACTAAGGGATAGCTCTATCAGTTCTAAACTGTTCTCCCTAGAGGTCCAGTAAGGATAATCTCTTATTGATCCAGTGTTACTACAGGAGGAAACCTAAACTAACTAACTTTATTTATACTGGATAGCTCTATCAGTTCTAAACTGTTTTCCCTAGAGCGCCAGTAAGCTAAGGGTCATCTCTAATAGTGATCCAGTGTTACTACAGGAAAAAAAACCTAAACTAACATTATTTACTGGATAGTTCTATCAGTATTAAACTGTTTTCCTTAGAGGTCCAGTAAGGATCATCTCTTATTGATCCTGTGTTACCATAGACGGAAACCTAACTTAAATTAACTCTATATTTATACTAAATAGCTACATCAATTCAAAGACTTCTGAACTGTTTTCCTCAGAGGATGACAGCATGAAGCGCTGTTTAATTATTGATTGGTAAATAAGACTAAGTTGCATTTTATTAGGAATGGATAAAACATACCAACTTGCCACGGAAAGTAAATCATATTTGATTTCACCATGGACAACGGAAGAAATTTTGGATCAAAAGACATGTTTTGAAATTGACGGTCCAGTTAAACCTCAATCAGTTCTACCTTCTAACGTCAGCGCTTTTCAGGTATCACGTCACTTTTAAATATTTTAATTTGTTTCATCGGTAAATGAGTGTGAATATGTCCGCTAATTTATCACGTCATGTTGGTTGCAAGCTCTTTAAAATGGTTGAATATCACCGATAGTACGCGAGTTGAAATAAAACACCTCAAATAATATCGAACGGAATTAATTAACTGTTAGAAATGATTGGATCTTTTCGAGACAGGTTCAACATACCAATATTTAAACAGCTAGAACGCCAACGACAATAATATAATTGCTTATACTGTATGTTGTATTTGAGCCAAAGTATACGCTACCACACTTAATTTGACTCTTTAAACTATTTGGCAGCTTCTCTCAAACAGCCTAACTATCATCCAAGATGATAATATCAAACTTCACTCACTGGTAAATGTGATGAAACACTGGAGAAAAACGTGAACTGATATCAACAGTTTTTAGGGTTAATACATTTATAAGCAGTGTAAGTTGAGCTTGCAACCAACATGACGTCATAAATTAGCGGACATATTCAGATCATTTACATATCAAACAAATTGAAATATCTCAGAAACAATCCATAAAACAAGAAACTGAGAAAAAATTACACTACAACTTAAAGAGTTCTTTCATTTAAGAAAATAAGAAATTTCATTTCATGTACACTAGCTTTAATGAATCACTAGTACAACTGAACTTCTAAACTAAACCTACTTACTTTCCTCCACTACACATAATGAAAAAAATTAAGTACTGTTTAAAACACGAACAGGAATGTTTTATCAGAGATATAAAACACGAGGCGACGGTCGAGTGTCTTATACCTGATATAAAGCACGGAGTGCGAGTGTTAGTAAATTGCTTAAAAAACGACCCATCTTATGAGTTCATTGGCGAAATAATTTTAAAAGTCAACGTTCTCTAAGCCGAGAAAAAAACAAAGCTAAAGTTTATGTTAAAGAACATGATTTTTTATCACATATAAAACATTACCAACATCTGCTTAGTGCTCAGTGAAACCATTCATAAATCTTGCTTATTTTCTCAGTATATAGGGGAAGATGATTTCGAAGGAATCGCATGCTACAACTTCAGACTGAAAGCTACGATGGGCAAGAAAGTCAACGTCTATACATTGACTGTAGATCAGGCGAATAAAGTTCCCAAGCGCTACGAGATGTTGGGATACGATACGTTATTTGGCTCTCATTATGATAAGTACGAAGTGTTGTATACATATTTTGAGAATACCGTACCAACGGAGGAGACGTTTAAAATTCCTAAAGGTACGTTCGCATATTAAGAATTGGTAAGTAGGAATATACCGTTGGTTTTCATGCTGAGAAAATATTTTTGGAGAAAAAAATAGAACAGATTTCAAAATAATAATATATTTCTTTGCGCAAAAACATAAAAAAACTTGTTCGGTGAGAATCAATCACTCATTTGACTATTTCTTCAGTTTTTACCACTGGAACACGTGTTCAATATACCCAACTGATCATAGCTGAACTAATGATCTTAATCCTTTATTCGGTGACATTAATTAAGCAATATTTTGAAATATTTTTATACGTTTTCTCCATAAATATTCCCAAAGGATAAAAGCCAACGGTATATCAATTTTTACTTATTTTATTAATTGTTGTTTTAAAATACGATAATCTTTACTAATTTTTCAGTTCTTCATGTACAGTCGAAATATAGCTGCCTGTCTATCACCAGGGAATATATACTTGGTTACTTTAAACAAAATTAATTATTATTTGCTAAACATTTCATTTCAGGCATGACCTGCCACGGCTTCCCTGGACCGGGCGCCGAGTCAGTGGTCTTGGCCAACCCTATGAGAGATTACTTTGGACCCGAAGATGAAGATAGAGTTCATCACGTGTTTAAAGATTTTCTGAAACATCATCCCAAAGATTACGCTCATGATCCGACTGCATTTGAACGTAGAAAGGGGCACTTTAGACAAAACTTGAGGTACATTAGTTTGCTGTATCCAGTATAAATAACAGTTTAGGTTTCCTCCTGTAGTAACACTGGGTCAATAAGAAATCATCCTTACTGGACCTCTAGGAAGAACAGTTTAGAACTGATAGAGCTATCCAGTATAAATAACAGTTTAGGTTTCCTTCTGTAGTAACACTGGATCAATAAGAGATGATCCTTACTGGACCTCTGTGAAGAACAGTTTAGAACAGATAGAGCTATCCAGTATATAAATAAATTAGTTTAGTTTAGGTTTCCTCCTGTAGTAACACTGGATGAATAAGGGATGTCTCTTACTGGACCTCTATGAAGAACAATTTAGAACTGATAGAGCTATTCAGTATAAATAAAGTTAGTTTAGTTTAGGTTTCCTTCTGTAGTAACACTGGATCAATAAGAGATGATCCTTACTCGACCTCTGTGAAGAACAGTTTACAACTGATAGAGCTATCCAGTATATAAATAAATTAATTTAGTTTAGATTTCCTCCTGTAGTAACACTGGATGAATAAGGGATGACTCTTACTGGACCTCTATGAAGAACAGTTTAGAACTAATAGAGCTATATTCAGTATAAATAAAGTTAGTTTAGTTTAGGTTCCTTCCTGTAGTAACACTGGATGAATACTTGGGATGACTGTCGCTAGACCTTTGGGAAGAAGAGGAATGTTGTCAAAATAAAGTTAGTTTAGTTTGAGTTTCCTCCAGTAGTACACTGGACGAAATAAATTATTCTTACTGGATCTCTAGAGATAATCGCCGTGGTCGAAAAAGTTAAAGAGAATAAGATACTGAAGCGAAACCAACCAATATTTTAACATTCAATATTTTAAAGGTACATACACGCCAAAAATCGTCAAAACCTCGGCTACCGTTTGAAAATCAACCACTTGGCAGACCGTCATGACGATGAGTTGAGTATGTTACGAGGTCGGCAACGCACAACGGGTTACAACGGAGGGAAACCGTTCAATCCGAGCGTTATGGTTGACGATGTCCCAGATTCCATCGATTGGCGATTGAAAGGAGCTGTGACGCAGGTGAAAGACCAAGCTATCTGTGGCTCATGTTGGTCATTTGGGGCAACTGGTGCAATAGAAGGAGCATTGTTCTTACATGTAAGTTTTAGGTATTATAGTTCTGGAGTACACACGTAAAAATCTCACAACGTGTCAACAATATGTGTTCGCAACAGGCTTGTGGCAAGCTTGTCAACAAGGTGTAACAATGCTGTTATTTTATCAAGTTGCTACAAGGTTGTCACTCACAACTTGTTGACAAATTGTTGAATTGCAGGACGATAACAAGTTGTTGAAACAACTTGTAACAATTCTGGTGAGCTCAACAACCTTGTAGCAAGTTGTCAACAAGCCATTGACAACTTGTCAACAAGCTGGGAACGAGCAGTTTGAACACATCCTGTTGACAAGTTGTTGGAACAGCATTGCTACAAGTCTGCTGCAGGATTGTTACAACTTGTGCATTTTTACGTGTGTAGCGCGTCGAGAATGCTAATATTTGATGTTTCTTACTCTATCAGACTGGAAACAGGATTCGTCTGTCGCAACAAGTGCTCATGGATTGTTCATGGGGTTTTGGTAATAATGCATGCAATGGTGGTGAAGAATTTCGTGCCTACCAGTGGGTTATGAAACATGGTGGCATACCCAGCGAGTTTTCGTATAGACCTTATCTCGGAATGGTAAGTTGTGACTAAAATGTGACTAAAAATAGGCTCACTTAGCGTACATGTGTATATAATTATATGACTGTTATAATTTGACCGTCGATTTATTTGTTGAAATATTGAGAAGCAATTATTTTCAATGTCGCGTATTCGCGATGAAAGTGTTCAGACACGTTTGCGCAAAATACTTTCCCGGACTAAACAGAACATTAATGTTCTGCTTGGTACTCAATGTTCTCCTTGTTTTTTTAAGAATGGCTACTGTCACTTCAATTCCTCGGATGTAGCCGCCAAGATAGACGGTTATGTTAATGTCACATCAGGAAGTGAGGAAATGTTGAAAGTAGCCATTGTCTCACATGGTCCTACTGCTGTGGGAATTGACGCTTCACATAAATCATTTGCGTTTTACTCTGATGGTGTCTATTACGAACCAAAGTGTGGTAAGTTGTTAGAAAGTTGTTTTGTTACAACGAGATTTCCATACTGATAAATTTGGCTATACAGGGTGTATAAAAAAAACGCAACCTCGGAATTTCCTAAGAAATCACTTTGTAATTCTTAAGCATTTGATTTTAGGCCCCTGGGAATTGAAATCGAATTGCTAATAGATCATATTACTGTTGTTGTGCATTAAATAAATGCATAAATTTTGCTTTATGCACTCGCGTGTGCAGTAATCTTGACAGTTGTGCTATTTTAAATTCCCAGGCGCCTAAAATCTTTTGTCTTCAAAACAATGTCGATTTCACCCTGTATAACGTTGTTTACATCACCTAAACCACAATTTTAGACAATTCACATGCCTAGTAACGACTATTGTTCTAGTTTGGCAGGAGCATAAAATAGAACAAAGGTAACTAAGCATCAGAATTAGACAAATGTCTCTCTGTCTGTAGAAATTGTAGGTTTCTGCCAGAGAGCCTATAGACCCATTGCACATGACGTCACAGCGCCGGCGACGATGCATCTGGACGACAAATTAGCAATCTATCCATAATATAACTTTTGTAAACAAAGCAAATTTTTAAAACTTTATAATAATTTTGTATTAAAATGGTTCATTTTCGCGCTGTATGTGGTTGTTGTACCCGAACAGATATTGTTAGGAAGCATTTGGAGGACACTCTAAGGATTTGTGACGTCAGTGCAATGGGTCTATAGTTGCATTTTTAGCAACATTCTCGTACCCAGAGCCCTTCTTACGCGCCGTGCGACGAGGGGCTCTGGCCAAATCCATAACCGGATACCATAAAAACATGGTAATAGAATATATCCGGTATTAGAACAATAACCTTCGTTGTGGCCAATCAGATGCCAGTTTGATATGGATTTGGCCAGAGCCCCTCGTCGCACCGCGTGTAAGAAGGGCTCTGGGTACGAGAATGTTTTAGCAATTGCTCCTGGTTAGATCTCAGGCCTTATCCTTGAGCGCGGTATCAAACATTTCCAATCAAAGCATATCTACTCAAAATTACTGTATATAGGTAACAAACCAGAAGATTTGGACCATGCGGTACTGGCTGTGGGCTATGGTACCATGAAAGGTAAAGATTACTGGTTGATTAAGAATTCTTGGTCAACTCACTGGGGCAACGATGGTTATATCCTTATGTCTACCAAGGATAACAACTGTGGAGTCACCACTGATGCTACCTTTGTTGAAATGGCTTGAAATACTGGATTACACAAATGAATATATAACTTGATTGTTGGGTCTAATTATCCTGGATTGAATGAGTAGTTTACAGGCTAGTTTACACTCTCAAAGTTTCTGTAATTACAGTAGGAATTTTGGATAAGTAAGTTCTAAGTTTTGAAAGATTTGTAAGAAATGTTTAAAGGAACTGACTGGAACTTACTTAGTGTTTAACACTGAGTCAGTACCTCAAATATTTCTTACAAATCCTTCAAAACTTAGAATTTACCTATGTAAAATTCCTACTGTGATCACAAAAACATTATAGTGTAAACCATGCCTAATACCTACAACATATACTAATTGATGTATCACATTATATAGAGTTTGGAATGTCAGAAAATAAATGTCCATTGAATGCGAGCAACATTTGACTAAGAATTTATTCCTAGTGAAATTAAAAGTAAGCATCTTTCGCCTCTGAGATAATGGTTAGTTTCTTTTTTCTTCGGGTAATGTTGACAATGTGGGTTAAGATAAATCCCTGATTTGCTTGAGAACATCGCAACGAATTAATATACAGAGTAACAGTACAACATATTTATTTTAAACTCAAATAAACAACTGAATATATATATATATATATATATATACATATATATATATATATATATATATATATATATATATATATATATATATATATATATATGTGTATATATAATTATTCATCACCATTTTATAATACAATGATTCGTATATTTACATAAACTTGAAACTAATTAATTCCATTTAAGAACAATTTAAGTTAAATTAGCATTCAAAATATTTAACATGACAATATTTATACTTAACTGTCTGTGATCAGAAATATCAAGAAATGGGCCCGCTTTCTTTTATTCTATCCTTCGACCAATAAGGATGTAATGGTTTGACTCTTGTTGATTTTGACAAACCAACCCTAAGCTTTCGTCTTCCTTGCCTTGCCAAGATAGCTGTCTGTGAGGGTAATCCTATGTATGGGAAATAACAGTAAAATAATTGGTGAAACTCATCAATAATGCATGAAGAAAACACAAAAGAAATCATAACCGTGAAAGAGTTTGTATATCCGTAATTCATTCATGTTAAATTGTTGAAGAATACCAATGTTCTCATCAAGACGTTACGTTTCACAAGCCATTTGATTTAGTTCGGCTCGAGTTTGTATATCCGTTTGTATATGCAACAGTGAACACGGCCGTTCATGTTTATACTTTTGTATTAAAATATTTCAGTGCATATTACCTTGATCATATGATACAGGTGTAATGCAGGATTCTTCCTTTACGGCCTCGAATGTTTTGTGGCTTTGTCGAGAATACTGCAATGATGTATTTGTGCTATCCATTATAACATCGTCTGCACCAGATGGAACTGCGCGAGATGAATCTTTCATTGGCTGCGCCTGCGACTGATCCTGGGCATTATACATATCTGGAACAATTTGTGTAGTCAGATAACGAGCGTGCACGAGAGATTCTTCAGAGTATTTAAGAGTATCGCCTTGATTGTCATGTTCGAAGGTTGTTGCAGAACGTATCTTAGTTCTTGGGTGTTCATCAAATTCTAGGAAAAATATTGAATATAAAGAAAACGAAGTCCTTATTACGATGTGATTGGTTGGTTTATACTATTAAAGTTTCTGTGATCACAGTAGGAATTTTGAATAGGTAAATTCTAAGTTTTGGAGGATTTAAAAGAATTGTTTGAGGGAGCTGACTCAGTGTTGAACACTAAATCAGTTCCTACTGTGATCACAGAAACGTTTATAGTGTAAACCAGTCTTTAGGCAATTACCTGTTTCATATTGCTCGACACTTTCGCCAATTTCACCATTCAAACAACCATGTCTTAACCAAAGTTCATAACTTTGTTCAAAGTTCATCTTCTGTTTCTTATTTGGAAAATCTGTCTCGATTGCTGGCTCGCAGGTTTCCTCAAACTCATTCACGTGGTCCGGGGAAGATAGAAATGAATGAGCGTATTTCTCAAGCTGGAACTCTTCATGACAATGTGCGTTTGCTGTATTCTCATTCCACACACCAGCCAGGATGTTTATTTCAAGGGATCCAGTATCAGTTAGTGCAATTTTGGGAAAGGTTATTTCTTCTTTGGTGAGACTACGTTGGTGAAGAATCTCGTTATCTGCAGTCGGCATAGCAGGGACTTGAAAGTCCTTAAAAATAATTGAGAAGTTGATATAGATAGTATAACCTATTTAGGTATTAAGCAAAATGTTTTATTTATACTGAATAGCTTTATCAGTTATAAAGATTTCTCCCTGGCAATCCAGTGAAGGCTGTCCCTTATTGTTTCAGTGTGACTGCAAGAAGATATTGCAGTACGTAAAGAGAATTTGTGGTGTTTGGTAGAATTAAACTAGAAGCACTCTTCTCACAATTAAAATTATATATATATATATATATATATATATATATATATATATATATATATATATATATATATATATATATATATATATATATATATATATATATATAT